ATAGTATATATAAATCTTTAAGTTATATATAGTATATAAAGTTAAAAAGAAATAAGTAACTATATAAGAAATCTTAGCTAGTTATTTAAGGCTATACTAATTATAATAAGAAAATAATTCTTATATAGTTACTTATAATTTAGTAAATAGCCTAGTAACTAATCTTTTACTTTTTCACTTTTATAATATAGATTTTACCCCTAGTTACATAATATTACCTAGGCGTATACCTAATTTATATTACTACTTAACTAATTTCCTCTTTTAAGACTTCTTATATAAATCTACTATTTGTCCTTAGTAGCTTTATTATAAAAGTAATAAAGCTACTTTATAGTATTACTAAAGTAGGCACCTACTAGTAAGCTATATATAACTCCTATTATAAAGAGAATATCCAGATAGATTTATTAATCTTTAACCTCTACCTACTTATTCTATAAGCTAATAAGAAAGGCTTTAGCCTTATTAGTATATAAATAAATAATATAATTAACCTAATAGATAATAGACTCTCTACTTATAAAAAAAAAGAAGCTAAAAAAGTAACTTTTACTATAAGGCCTAAGTAAATACTAACTATTAATAATTCTATTACCTTTAATAGTAGTATACTTTCTCTTTACTATAGTAGTAAAATGAACTTTTACTAAAAGAATTAAGGTAAAAAGCTTTAGCCTATTAATATAAATTTACTTACTACTAAGTAAGACTTTATCTAGTAAAAGTCCTATAGAATATATATTATATTAATTATATATTATATTAATTTACTAACCTAAAGCTTACTTTAACTATTTAGTTATTATATAATACTAAGAGCCTATAAAGAAGAAGATTAAGTCTCTTAATTACTAGATTAAGTAGTAAATAAGCTACCTTAATTATAGCCTACTTTTTTAGCTTATAAGCTTTATAACTATAAAGCTTTTTTATTCTTATTAAGAGCTTATTTATAAATAATTATAACTTTACTTTATAACTTAGATTTATTATTATACTTACTAATAAAGATAATATTATATAACTTACTACTAATAATAAGAAATTTATACTTACTAGTAATATTATCTACTTTAGCTTAATAAAGTGTAAAAAGGTTATATATAGCGTACTAGCCTCTAAGGTCTATAGTATAGTTACTAGTACTAATATTATCTTTATAATTAGCACTATACTTATAATAATTACTAACTACCTTGAGTTATTACAAATCCTAATAATCCTCTTTATTAATTTATACTCTCTCTATAAGTGCCCTATAGAACTTAGTACTTCTGAAAAGAAGTAACCTATAATTAATATTATAGCGCTTTACTAGTTATTTAAGTAATATAAGATCTATAAGATTTTATAGATATAAGGGGAAGATAACTTAGTAAATAGATTTATAAAGTTATCACTAAATAAAGTGCTAAACTAGTTAGTTAAAAATAGTAAATTAAAGATATAGATAAATAAATAAGTTCTATATATATAATAGGCTACGTATATAAAAAGTATTAAATACTTTTTAGCCTTTTGTTTTTTTTATATCTTTAGGCCCTTTATAGATAACTAAAGAATAAGAATAATTTATAGCACTTTAGAAGGTTACTAGTATTATAATTTAACTATTACTTAAATATTAGTAGTATAGATTAACACTAATAAAAGCTAGAATAACTATAGCTAATTTACTATAAAGTCCCCTAAGGATTTTATAGTAATTTCCTTATAGATCTACTAGACCTATAGGTATATTACGTAGTAAATTTACTACGTAATCTTATAATAGTTTTCCTTTTTATGTATAATTTAAAACTAGTATTTACCTCTAGTATTTATTATTACCTAATACTATATATAGTTCACTATATTATAACCTTAGTAATAACTAATATTTACTTTAAATTTAAAATTAAGAGAGAAATAATAGTTACTTTTAATATAAACTTTACTAATAATTTATTTAATTATAGATCTTATAGGTGTATATAACTAAGATATCTAGTAGCCTTATTAGATAGAAAGTAGTAAGTAATAGATTATAACTATTATAATAATAATAGCTAAATTACTAAACTATTATAAGAAGTAAAAAGATTAATCTTCATTAACTAACTACTTAAAGAATTTATAACTTAGAATTAATTAACTAATATACTTATAATAGTTTAATATAAGAGTTAGTAGATAATTAGATTAGCTAGGAAGAAGCTAGTATACTTATAAATATAACTATAGTATATTAATATTCACTATTACTAGCTATATTAGGAAATACTAAAAGTTAAATTAATATTATTTATATATTATAAGTTAGATTAATAGTAGATAAACTAAAAAATAGCTTCTTATATTAAAAGTAGTAATTATTTATTAAATAATTAGGACTATTTTACTAAAGTAACTAGATATAAGAAAGTTATAAAGCTAGATTATATAATAAAGATAAAATAATTAATAAAGAGTAACTAATAAAGTAAGTAATAAGGTACTTAATAAAGTATAATTAATAAGATAATTAATTAAAAGTAATTAATAAGGTAATTAATAATACTATAGATTACTAAGTATAATAAAGAAATAAGCTCTAGTAGATATAGTTATAACTAGAATAGTTATTATTTAAAGGTATAATTACTAGATAAGTAAGCCTACTTTTCTTTTAAATATAATTAGGAATACTATATTTAAGTACTAAAGGTTTAAACTATATTAAGTTAATAATAAAAAGGATTTTATAGTTATAAATTATATAGTTAGACTTACCTTAATTAAAACTATAGATTTATTAAGAGGCTAACTAGTAAAAGTTAAATACTATAATTAGAAATAATAAAACATTACTTACTAGAGAATAAGCTATATTAGTAGATATATATTATAACCTAATAAGTTACAGGCTATATTACCCTACCTAACAGACAGATAGTAGGCAGCAGCAGTGTTTATATAGATAAGAAATAAGGAAGAAATAGATAACTCCTTAGAACAGAAGAACTATAGTATAAGTTATATAGAGATAAAGAAGTAATTATAAAATAAGTTAATTACTAGTAATTATAAAAGTAAGCACTTACTAGTATTTACTAAGCGCTTACCTTATATAAAAATAGTAATTACTTATAACTATTAGTAAAAGAAACTATTCTAGAAACAGTTAGGACTTCTATATAAGATAAACTTAGACGCACTTAAGGACAGACTCCTATAGCTCTTTAGTAATTAACTTATAATATATTCTCTAAATACCTTTTAGTATCTAACCTTAGTAATTTAATTAATAAGAAGCTATATAAGCTGCCCTCTAACCCTAAGCCTTAACTAATTACTAGGTAATTAATAAGATAATAAGAAAGATAAATACTATTAAGTAAGTACTAACCTCTGCTTACTATTAGTAGAAACCCTACTGTCTAGAAACTAGCTATAATAATATACTAAAGGAGAATAGTATTTCTAAAGTAATTAAACTTTATACTTAGTAATTTATATTTAATAAAATAAAAGGGTTAGCTTATAAAATAAATTAATATCTACTTATACTATATTTCATGTTATTAAAGCTTTATATAACTACTTTATTTTTAGCTATTTATAGATTAAAGTAGATAATTTAATAACTAAATTAATAAAATTAATAAACTTTATAAATATTACTTAAATTAAGTCTTTTTACCTCTACTTAGAATTAAACCTAAGAGCTTTAAAATAAGTTACTATCTTATATTAGATTACTTAGTAGTAAGTAATAGTACTTAACTATATATACTTTAGTTTTTGTTACTTACCTAAGTAACTAAGTAAGTAAATAAAGGTAATTTATAATTACTATAACTATAATAATAAATTAGTAATTACTAAATAATAATAAGTACTTATAACTATAAATACTATTAATTAAACGGCTAGATTAACAGCTCTAAATAGCCTTAATTTAAGAGGGCGTGTTAGAGTAGGTACAATAGTCACATGCGCCTAGATCCAGGTGAGGCAATTAGCCGCAAATGCACCAGTCATTTCTCAGATGGATTTCTCCACCCAAAACAAGGGAAAATAATAATCTGTACATTTGCCCCTTAGAAAGGGCCAATAATTACACACACAACAGAGCAATTAATTAACGCAGGGTTTCGCTGCCAATTACGCACTTCAACACTTCTTGCCAGCCAAACAGCTAACTAATCTTATAGCTATTTGCCTATCTAGGCTGGAGTAGATTAACTAGGTAATAGACATTCTATTACGTAACAGATATCTCTACTTAGAAGAAATATAACAAGGTGCTAAATCTTTAAACCTTACTACTACTTACTTTTAATAGTGAAATCTTAAATAATTAGAACAGGTTTTACTTTCTCTTACTCTATATTACGTACTTGCTGTTCTGATTTAAGACATGTAACATCCTTGTTTATGGAACGATAATCTATATCAAGGTGTTGTTAGAGTTTAAAACCAAAACCTAGATAAATCTACTTAAATCCCCTAATGAAAGGTGACCGCCCTTGACCTTGGTTCAATAAGCCCTACTTCTTAAACAATCCCTAAGTTGCAATCATTACTGTCCTCTTTACTGTCCACACTATTAGGCACCCTAGTAAAGAGATGATGGAACAATCCTCTCTATCTGCAGTAACTAGCGTCCAGCTGTCTCCCGAAACGACTCCCGGGTTTACACATGTAGACGAATTGACAACTGAGAGCGCGGAAGTGACCTCTCGGCTTCTCACAGAGAACCACACTCAGTTTCATACCCGATGGAAACTTACCTTTCACAGTAAGTGTGACCCTTCCCATGGCGAAGACCAGAACCTAATGCAGTATTAGACCACCTCGCTCATCACCTCCTCACCCTATGGGCACTTGGAGCGTCTCCATCCGAGATACAGGCTATGTGGAACTATAACGCTGCGTACCAGACTGGCCTACATGATCCAGACGTTGAATCAAAGCATCTAGATTTGCAGAACCCTCAGGCTTTTAAACAGGCCTTGGGGAAGGACGAGAATTACGCAGTATTCCTCAAGTTCTTTGAAAATGAGATTCACGACAAGGGTCTGCCTGAGGTTCTACAGATATATCTGCTTGACGGCTCCGAATTAGCAAATGACATTTTCTATCGCCTATGGACAGGTGAGCTGCGCATCTGAAATAAATAACGTATGCGGCTAATGTTCGCGGCGATTTTGAAGATCTCATGCATCCCGCAATTCACCTGGGCTGCGGCTTGGAATTCAACCAGCCAAGCATTATTGCGGAAGCTTTGGCGGGGGCATGCGTGCACCAAGACTGGGCGAGAGTGTTCCTTGAGCCCACGGAGAAGTCCACAGCTCCTCATTCCGATGTTTCATCATCTCTTTTCATCCAAATGCTGGAAAGTCTTCATAATGATCCACTCATATCGTCTGGTGTGAAGCACGACGACCCGTTCAACAAGATTCCTGATGGCCTCCTGAAGAGGGTATCTGGAGAGGCCTTTGCTCCCCATCTCAGTATATTCCAGTGCAGCGAACAAAATGGGGACTTACGTGACAAGATGACGGATATGTTTTATGGCTGCGTTTACATGGTAAGTGCAGCGCAAAGCCCTGGCAAGCATGAGGCTCTTGATTTCGTTACTCTCCACAGCGTTACGATGGCCGGGTTCTTTCCAGCTATTCTAGCGCTTGATTGGATGTCGGATCATGACAAGGCACGGCTGCTGGTGGCCAAAGCCAGGGTTGACGGTGTCATGTATGCTGGCTGCGGAGTCCCGTTCCTATACCCCGGGAGGGTGACACATTACATTCCAAAACACCCTGATCAAGATTGGTCACAACTTCTTAAACGGGCTATTGGCTACTATGATGAGGGACACGCTGCTAAGTTTGTGAGGGCGATGCTTAGTTTGCAGGTTCTGGATGGTCCGCCCGCTGGTTTCCCCATCGCAAAACCCGACCTCATCAAGGTTGTACACATGGCGTTGGACTCTATTGAGCGAGCCATGGAACCTGGGGGAAGCGAAATGCCAGAGAGTGCGGCTCAGGCCGTGATCAACCGGATTGGGCTGGGCGGCGAGATGGTCAAGAATAACATGGTGCGATGGGTGTTCTACAACGGCTTAGAAAAGGCCTGGGACTTTGTACCTATAAAAAAAAAGAAATCATGTAATAATCTACTTAAAGAATTAGTTTAGTTTTTAGCTTTAGGTACTAGAGTAGTAGAGTTCTTAAATAGTGTTTCCTTTAATCTAGTTAACAAGTAAGCTACCTAGACAAGTGTTATAAAGCTAAAATAGCTTTATATAGCTTATATTAGTAACTCTACTATAGAGATAGAGTATTATCTATACCTATACAATAGTGAAGAGTAACCTATAGAACACGCTTAGCTATATAAGAGTATACACCTAAATACTAAATCTATTGCTACTATTAAATTCCTAATAGAGACTTAACTAGCTATATCAAATTAACTAGTATTAGTAGTATAATAAAGTATATTTTCAAACATTATTCTTATAATTAATTATCTACTTAGAAATTAGGTTTAGTGTTAGTATAATAAGTAGGCTTAGCTCTCTTAGAGAGAATAATTATTATAATCTATTAGAAAAGAATGAAAGTAGGGACAATAGTAATATTTTTAGACCTTTAATTAGCGGTAAAAGCTTATATATTACAGGTCTATATATAAAAGATAAAGAATAGAAAGCTCTAGAGCTATATTTAGCTACTAGCACACGTTTTTAAGCAGGCTAGTAATTATATAAGCTCTTCTAGGTCTTATAATTTATAGCGTAATAATTACTACCTATTAACAACAGTTCTTACTTGCTTTAGTAACTACTATTACTATTACTATTAATATTACTATTTCTATTAATATTGCCCTTAATTTTACCTTTACTTTAGCCCTTACTTTAGCTATTAGTTTAGTTAGTTACTAGCTGATTAATAATTAGATTATCTTTATCTAGCTTACTATAGTAACTACCTTTATAGCTACCTACTTTACTATAGCTATAGTTACTATAGTAGCTACTACTAAGGTAGTGACTTTCTTTATAAAGTAGGCCTAGTGTTATAGGCTAAAAGGCTATAATAAGGATAGTAAGGCTTTACTTACTATACTATACTTAGTTACTACTTACTTAGTATAGCTATTTAACACTATATATATAAGGTATATACTATATAATAAGCATCTTTCTCTTAAGCTTAAATTAATTATATTAAGTTACTATATATATCTTAAAAGGTAGTACTAACCCTTTATATATCTAGGCTTATAATAAGCAAATTAAATAGTATAGTACTTACTATACTATATAATAACTTTATTATAAGAATATAGGGTTAAGAAGTACTATTATAGCCCTTTATATAATAGTAAAATAGTTATACTACTTAGTAGTAGGTATATATAATATACCTACTTATAATAAGAATATTATAGCCTAGCTAGCTATACTAGCTTATATACTAGCTTATTAAAAACTACTACTATTACTTCTAAAGTTCTTTAGGTAGTATTATAACTTTTTACTATAGAAATAATATATATATTATAAAGAAAAGATTAATTATAACTTTTATCTAAATAGTTATTAAGTTTAATACTTTATTAACTCTTACCTAAAGATTAGCTTATAGTATATTATATTAACTTTTTATAAAAAAGGTAAAGTATTATATAACTTAAAGTCTAAAGAAACTTTATTATATATAAAGTATAAATATATTAACCTTAATAAGAGGTAGTATATAATAGCTATACTTATTACCTTTATATAGGGAACATTAAAATATTTTCCTCTTTTATATTAAGTTTTAATAAATTATAACTAAAGTAGGTAAGTAATTTTAAGCTAATAGTACCTATTTAGTACTATTTTTAAGTATACTTTTAGTATGCTTTTATACTACCTTAAGAAGTATTTCTTTTTTTAAAAATTATAATACTTATAGTATATAGATTAACAAGGTAGCCTAAAAGATTAAAAAGCTTATAAAGACTATATATATAAACTATCTTACTTACTTTATATATAAGGATACTAATAAAAATACTATAATAGTAAGGTTAGCTTAAAAGACTAATACTAGCTTTATTATAAGTAAAGAGATTATAAATAATAAGGTATAGTTAAGGTATAAAACGAGGACTTATTATGATTACTAAAAGCTAAAGTATTTTATAAAGAACTATAATAGTATACTAGTATATATAGCTAAAGTAACTACTATCTAAGTTAAAAAGCTTATAAAGAGTAAAGATAATAAAGACGTAAACTTAAGTAATAAGTTAAGAAAACAGTAACTTTAAAATAGAATTAGGCCAAGAAGTTAATAAGTAAAGAGAATAAAGAATAAAATAAGTTTTTATATATAAGAAAAATAATTAAACTATTTATACTAATAGAAACTTTAGTAAATAAAGACTTTTCTACTTAAGTTCTTACTAATACTAGTTATAATATCTATATAATTATAAAAGATAACTTCCTATATAAGTAGTACTTTCTATATACCTTATAATACAAAAGCTTATTAAAGAGATTTACTAAGGTCTCTTAGTATATATTAATAAAAGGGGCTATTATGTTTAACTTTAGACTTAGTAGGTATTAATAATATATATATATATATAGTACCTAAATTAAGTTAAGATATCTTCTTAAAGAGGCCTTTAATAAAGGCTAATAAGGCTATTTTTAATATAATAAAAGGTATTATTTACTATTTATATATATACTTTACCTTATAATTAGTAGCATAGTAAAAGTTAAAAAAAGAGTCTATACTATAGGTATTATAAAGGTATGTTTATTTATAATATTATATTACTATATAGCCTAATAAAATAATATAAAAGCATATAACCTTACTTTAAATACTAATAAGTAAAAGGCCTTTTATTAAGTTAGGAATTAATAGGGGGGCGTCATAAATTAATATAGGGGCGTCGCCCTTATAGGGGCGTCGTTTTCTATCTTCTTAATTAGCTTAGAAAATTAGTATATCCCTATAAAGGCAGTAAAAATAATTTTACTAACACTTCTACTATTCTAACACACTATTATCTAATTAGCCTATATAGCTATAGGAAATAGGCTCTATAAAGGGCTCCTCTTTATAGCTATAAAGATTACCTCCTATAGAGCCTGTTTCTTATAGCTATAAAGAGCGCTTTTTTTCTTATTTAAGCTTTATAAAGGTATATTACTTATTACTTTCTTTTATAAATCTTAAATAGGGCTATATAATTAAAAGCGCTTACTATTTAGCTATCTTTTTATAATATAGTTATAAGGATTTATTATTACTACTAACTATTTCTTACTAACTTTATATCCTCTAAATACTAAACTATAATAGCTATTTATTTATATAAGTCTTTATAGTTCTTTTTTTACTAAGAATACTTAACTAGCTTCTTATTTATTACTAGGAGGAGGTTAAAATCTACCTTTAACTTAATTAACTTACCTCCTATATAGACCTATTCCTACTTCTAGGTAGGTAGCCTTACTTCTTACTACTAGTGCCTTAGCTATAATTCTAGGTGTAGGTTTAGCTAGCTAACTAGCCCTCTTAAGGTAAGGCTAGTTATAATAAGATAAGTTACGCTATATTCTTTAGCCTACTATAAAAAAATACTATAATCTTTAGATTAAGGATTTAGTAGTATAAATTAAAAGAAGTTATCTCTTAAAAATATTAATAGGGGTATACCTCTTATATACTAAAAGTTACTAAATTAAGTATCTTAATAAAGATCTTATAGTAGTATAAAATACTAAGCTTAGTTAAAACTATATAGTCTAAATTATATTTTTTAATAAAGGCTAAGAATAGCCTCTTACTAAAAAGTATTACTTTTTTTACTAGCTAGTATTACTTTTTAATTAACACTAGACACTTTAAAAAAAGTAGTATATAAAGTTTACTAAAGAGCTTAAAGTAAGTCCTTATATACTTCTAGCTTCTAAGGACTTTATCCTTAGTATAAGCTTACTTAAAGTATAACTTCTAGTTACTAATTATATCTTATATAATAGTAATAAGTTAATATAGATAACTAAGACTATTTAGGAGATAGCCCTTAATATTATTATTACTTAACTTTATACTAAAGGTAATATAAACACTAAAGTTTTAGTATTTTTAGATAAAGTAGTAAGCCTACTATACTCTAAAGGGTAGGTATATTATATAAAGGTACTAAAAGATAAGGTGTTAATTAATAAACTCTTTATAAAGTTTAGCTTAGGCTTTCTTAAAGGCCTACTTAGTCTTAGTAAAAATAATAAGCTTTTATATTATTAACACTTTATAATATATATAAGGGGGGGCCTTATTTACTAGCGTATTAATCTAGGCTTAGTCCTTATTACTAAGCTAGGCTATTACTTATATTTATAGCTAATAGGCTTTATTATCTAACGTACTACTATTACTACTATAACTATAGTCTTTAAGCTACTTCTATTTAGCCTTAAGTATAATATTAAAGTTAATATAATAAATATAAAGCTATTACTAGACTTCTAGAAACTACTTATTTAGTATAGCCTTTATCTACTTATTATAGTTTATAATTATAATAGTAAGATAATAGACTAAGTTTTAGTTTATAAGTTAGTAAATACTAGCTAAAAGAAACTAAAAGCCTTCTAGCCTTTTATTAATTATAAGGCTAAATATAGCGTTATAAATAGATTTAAGGTAAGTCTGCTTAGTAGCCTAAAAAAGTAAAAGTTTAAAGTAATTGTATTATAAGTGTTATTAAAACTAATTACTTTAGGGAATTACTTTTATATTTAGAGATAGTAAAAAAAAGTCTAGATAAGGCTAGTAAGGTAGTCTAGCTTATTATCTACTTACTTTACTATATATAAAATATCTTACTTATTAAATAACTTAATTAAAGCTATAGTTAATAAATACCTACCTAGCTTCTCTTAGTTTATATAAGGTTTAGTATTATAAATATCTTATTAAGTAAATAAGGAATTTAAAAACTACTCTTAAA